AAAGGGCAACTAAAATGATTAGGGGTTTGGAACGGGTCCCATATGAGGAGAGGTTAAAGAGACTGGGACTTTTCAGTTTAGAAAAGAGGAGACTGAGGGGGGATATGATAGAGATCTATAAAATCATGAGTGGTGTGGAGAGGGCCGATAAAGAAAAGTTATTTATTAGTTCCCTAAATAGAAGAACTAGAGGACACCAAATGAAATTAATGGGGAGCAGGTTTAAAACTAATAAAAGAAAGTTCTTCTTCACACAGCATGTAGTCAACCTGTGGAACTCCTTGCCAGAGGAGACTGTGAAGGCTAGGACTATAATAGAGTTTAAAGAGAAGGTAGATAATTTCGTGGAGGTTAGGTCCATAAAAGGCTATTAGTCAGGGGATAAAATGGTGTCCTTGGCCTCTGTCAGAGGCTGGGGATAGGATACTGGGCTAGATGGACCTTTGGTCTGACCCAGTACGGCCATTCTTATGTTCTTATAAAATTTCACCCCCTAATGAGTATCCCTGCAGCAAGTCCAACAAATTGATATTGAGCTACAGCTTATCTTTGAGACCCATCCAACCTTGATTTAAAGACATGGTGATGAGAAATTTACCAGGTCCCTTAGTAACCTTAACCAGTGGTTAATCAAAAACAAACTACAGATTGAACCTCTCTGGTCCCCGGGACACTCTGGCAACATCTGTGGTCCAGGGGTAAGGGGAGAGGAGGCGGGTGGCACACAGCGACACACCCTTGCACAAGGTTCACAACAGCGCCCAGGTTTCTAATGACCACATTGGCGGGGCCACCGAGGGCAGGTCCGGATCGTTTCCCTTTTGAAGGCAAGGGATACCAGTGCAAGGACATGGATGTTAGTAGGGTGGGAGAGGTGGGATTCCAGTGCAAAAGTGCAGATGTTAGCTGGGGAGGGGGACATCCAGCACAAGGACGTGGGATATCAGGGTGAGGACTCAATTTCATGTCTTTTGTAGGATCCTGGTCTCTGCCTGGGCTCCTGGACACAGGGGAAGATGCTGTTAATGCGCATGGCCTGCATTGCCAGCGCCAAGCATTCAAAACTCATAAGTCCTCTCTTCCCCCCCTCCCCCCCCCAAGAGTGGCTTCTTGAAATCAGATAAAAAGATCCCCAAGTGTATTTTTATTTGGCATCTGGCATGTGAGGCCTTTGGCTGAACTCAGGGCACGTTTTCTAGCTTTTCTCCACAAACCATGAGCCCTAAAGTTTTTCTTTAAAACAACCCAAAAGGCTGGGATTCTCTTCCAGGCACCAACTAACAAGCATAATATACTCAAAACAATCACAGCTGATAGTGGTGCATGAGACATCAGGTGGTGAAGTTACCATATTGGCTTAAGTCTAATAATATGGCTGGGGCTTGCCGGGGGACTAACGATCAGGAGGCTTGTGATCACATCAGGAGAGTTGGCATCACTGAAATCTATTCAGTTTCACAAAATGAGTTAATAGTTTCACAGCTTACACCTATGGGCGGTATGGCTCTGCACATGCCTCACCCGGGCCACAGGGACGTGACGGCAGTGGCATGGAGCTAGCAGCAGGAAGCCACTCTAGCCTCACTGCACTTGTGGTGTCCCTGGTAGATTTTAAATCACCAGGGGGTGGCAAGCGGGACTGGGGGACACGTGTGGGGGAGGGAACGTGCAAGCCAGCAGGAGGGGCCAGGAGATGCATAGGGGAATGTGCCGTGAAGCTCCCTCCCCCCACCCCTGCCGAACCCAGCTAGAGACACATGTCTGCTGGCCTACTAGGAGGATTTGAGGACTGGCACTGTCCTAAGGTACATTGAGTTTGAGACCCCTGGCCTAGAGTCACGAGATTCATCTGACTGAAAAGAGTTTATTAAAGGCTTGTACACCATACCGTCTTGTGAACTGGTCACTAATGTGAATGGAAGACTTTTCTAGCTCGTTCTGAATGGCTGAAAATTCAAGGTTCCCTACATTTTACTGTGTAATTTACTGTCAGTCTCTTAAACATTCTTGATATAAGTAAGGGAAAGATTCACTGTATTCATTGGGGAAAGCTGACGTTCCTGGAAATATAGCTGTTACATTCTCCGGGGATATGTTTTGAAGTAATTTCAAATGATTTGTTTTCTGTAACTTCATTAGCAGTGCCTTATTTTTAGCAGGCTTAGGGCATGTCTGGAATTGCTTTCACTTTCAAAAGAAGATGTGTAAATTCAGTGTGAATTTGCATATCTTCTTCTGATTGCTTTTTCAAAAGAGGTTCTTTTGAAAAAGAAAGTAGCCTTGACATGGTTCTTTCGAGGGGAAAAAACCCCTTTTTTGAAAGAACCTTTCTTCCTAAAAAAAAATGAGGTTTACACGGTTCTTTCGAAAAGGGTTTTTTCCTCAAAAGAACTGCATCTAGACTACTTTCTTTTTTGAAAGAATCTTTCGAAAAAGTGATTGAAAGAAGATATGCAAATTTGTGCCAAATTTGAATATCTTCTTTTGAAAGGGAAAGCAAGTCTAGACGTGCAGTTAATTTCTTTCATGCTCTGGTCAGCTGAAAGTCTAACCGCCTGTGCATACTTGAGGTGTGTGAAGGCAGCAGGAGTATGTGGTGGCGGAATGGTAACTGCCAAGCATTCCTGGCAAGTGACAGTTAAAAGAGGGTTCCTTTTGAAGCAGTGGTGAGTCCGTATCCTGTATCTTTGCTATTTAAATATAGGTGACCACCTGCAAACCATGTCCCAGCTACAAGATTTTGTGAGCCTGGGTTTTGTTTGTCTGGGTACTTACGCAGCCCCTTACGCGTGGTATCATAACTCTTGGATAGTTCTGTTCTGGTGTGCCATGTGGGCACAAGGAAGCTTCATTTTTGTACCATTAATTCTGTGTTGGGGCTGCTTTTAGCTCTGCTATCTCCTCTCTCTGCTTGTATGTGCAAATAGCCTAATTCCCAATGCCCTAGCCACATTTGAGCCCAAGAGTCCATTGCTATGTGTCTCAAACTGAAGGTAGAAGCATCTATCAGGTCCTTTTGAAATCTCTGTGGCTCCCCCAAGCAAATGGAAATAAGGTGGTGTTTGTATTTAGAATAGCTTTTTGGCTATTTCAAATGATGGTGAACAAGAAAGCTGAAATTCTGTTCCTGGACGTGTACCAGGAGCACTTCAGTAATGAATGGGAAATTGATCAGTGGTACTTTTATAGCTAAATTACTTCTGGCATATTAGGACTGAAAATAGATACTGCAAACTGGGAACAGAGACATCTATGTCCATAGGCACCAACTTCCAAAATTATTAGGGGGTACTGTACCCCATCTCTGCCCCCTCCCCAATTCCACTCCTTTCAAAAGGCCCCACTAGGGATGTAAGCAACTGGTCACTGAGTCAACTACTCAATAAGCATATGCTTATCAGATAGTCGAGTAGTTGCTTTTCTCCCCCCTCCGCTCCCACTGTCTCTATCAGAGAGAGGCAGCAAGGGGGGAAGAGAACAGAAGCTGGTGCAAGGGGGAGCCAGCTTAAAAGCACTATCTCTCGGGGGGGCAGAGGTGAAGCGGGGGACAAGGTGTGGCTCTAAATAGCTCCTGGCTGGGGACCTAACCCACTGTGGTTCTGCAGTTCTCCCCTCCCCTTATTGACTAGTCAATGGAAATTCCATTGACTGCTTGATTAGCTGATTACCTGCAATTTAATATCCCTAGCCCCCATGCTCTCTCCACCTCTTCCTGTCCAGTTCTATCACCTCCTCCCCCAATGTTGTGGAACAGCTGATCATGGTAGGCAGGAGGGACAGCGAGGTACTGATTCACACAGCCCGCTGGCTGGAAGGAGAGGGTAGAGCTGAAAGTGGACTGCCGGTAGATGCTTTTTCTCTGTGGAGCACCCATGGAGTCTACACCTGTATTTGGCAGTTTGACTGGATTTGGTGAAATGTATGACTGCATGGTATGGCTACAGCAGGTCTGTGCACCAGACAGCTTTGCTGCTCTTGTCTATCAACAGTAGCTGCTTAATGGCCCCACATGTCAATTTGTCTGTAATTTAGAAATATACTTTATAAAAACAACTCCTGCATCTGATTTGATTTGGCCACTGGTTAAGGGTTGCTGAGTAAATATTTTCACCTTTGATGGTTGCCTAGACTACACTTTGAGGTAAATTGCCCTTGTTCAATTTTAAGGCTTCTAGCAATTTGTAAATAAACAGCATTTCTTATCAAGCATGTAATTTCCACTTGTAATACTACATTATCCAACTTCCCTGTAACAATGCATATAGATTTGGAAAGTTGGTTCTAGAATCTCACCATTTTGTTTGTCTTGTTTTTCAGTCAAATGCTAACATTTGCCTCCTGCTCTAAATATCTATGTACATTCCCAGTCAAAGAATAGAGTCATGCTATGAGCAAAATAGCACATCACACTCTGGGCAAAGGGCTCTCTGCATGCAGCTCCTTGCTTGTCTACGTTCCACCCAAACTGGCACCCCACATGCAAAGTTTTTAAACTAACTTTTGGAGGAAAGATGGGAGGGTTGTCCGAAGTGCAATGGGAACAGGCAGTTTTTCCCCATTGACTGCGTCTGTAAGATTTTTACCTAGGGTACTATTGGTAATACCATCCTTATGCTGGTCCACTCAGACTTTTAAATGGAACAGCTACATTAATCCTGACATCATAAGTTGGCATCTATTTGCATTAACATGCGAGCTCATGCTCCAAAGACAGCCAACACCTTCAGGAGTATTAAAACCAAAGCTGAGGAAAAGTGATGCCAAGTTTTGTGCAGAAATATCCCTAAGCCTTTCTCTTCTCTTTCAGTTGGTCAGTATTGGTTCTTCCTATAACTATGGAAATGAAGATCAGGCTGAATTTCTATGTGTTGTCTCGAAAGAGCTGCATAATACCCCCTATGGTACAACTAGCGAGCCCAGTGAAAAAGCAAAGGTAAGTTACTGGGCACGGGAGGGAGGAAGTGAAAGATGTCAGCCAAAGCAATTAATAGCAATAATAACAATAACAACTAGATAGTCTTCCTAAGATTGAAGGAAGGTGTAATTTACTTGCCATCTCTCCTCAAGGTTGGTAATGGTTCCCTTTTTATTGAGCAAGATAATATAAACTGTACCAGTTCAAGTAACACTTATTGTCATGACTCTCGCATATTACAAAACAAGAACTTTAAAAGTAGGACATAGAATTCTCCATGCGTCTCCTTTTGAAATATGCATATTTGGGTTATCGGACAATAGGTAGACTTTGATTCTTCTGCCAGTACAAATGATGGATGTGTTCCATGCTTATCTGAGTCAGGGTACAGACGTCTCACAACCAGGAATGTGAATGACATGTTCTCTCTGAAAGATTTTGTCACGTGCAATAAGCAATAAAAGTCTTCCTATTAGATGAAGTTCCTTGCTTGCAATGTGTTAAGCTAGCTTTCAGGGTTCCATCTAATTCTTGCTCTTCTGCATAACTGAATTGACAGAGATGACATAATAGGCATGAGATCTTGTTGGTGTAGTCTCTGGACTTTCAGGGGTAATAGCTTGGAAAGAGAGCATGTAACATGAATCGTAGTGAGCCCTGACCAAATGGAGAATGAATTGCACTGTTCCTCTCCTCAGTGTGCACCGTACTTTTTATACCGTGCTAGTATCTTTGGGTATGTCTACACTACCCCGCTAGTTCGAACTAGCGGGGTAGTGTAGACATACCCAAAGATACTAGCACGGTATAAAAAGTACGGTGCACACTGAGGAGAGGAACAGTGCAATTCATTCTCCATTTGGTCAGGGCTCACTACGATTCATGTTACATGCTCTCTTTCCAAGCTATTACCCCTGAAAGTCCAGAGACTACACCAACAAGATCTCATGCCTATTATGTCATCTCTGTCAATTCAGTTATGCAGAAGAGCAAGAATTAGATGGAACCCTGAAAGCTAGCTTAACACATTGACGGCTAAACTACAGTTGGTTAGTAAAACTATTCGTCTTTATAAAAAATTTGCCACTCACTTATTTTTATTGTTTTAAATTGAAAACAACCAGTAAATCACTTAGCACAACTTTACAAGAGTGAACTATAGAAAATAAACACTGGAAAAAGGCCCTCCCATAAGGCTGACTGGAACCTCCAATGGCAGTTGTATCCTGCTCACATCATTTATTGTCAACTGCAGTTGACTGTGGGTTGCTACTGCCTTTTGTGCCATTCCCAGCTCATTTCCTGGTTGCACACAGCAGCAGTTTGGAAAGCAGCTTTTTTTGTTTGTGGCTACTCACACTTAGCATGTTGGGTACAAGTAATGAGATTTATTTCATAAAGCTTTTGAGTATTTTAAAACTTGGTAATTTCACTAGCAATGAAACACATTTTTGCTGACCTGTATTTTGAAGCAATTGAGATAAATATATTTTAAACCCTCTAAGCAGTTGTTGTAGACCAAAATAAGATGTGAACATGTAAAACTATAGAATCCTACGTATGGATTACTCCCCTGGAATGCATGTACCTTATAAGCCCACTGCTTTCTCCTCTTTAAAACCTAATTTTGCAATGGTGCTTGTAAGAAACTGAAAAGCTGATCAGTTTGATGTCAGTGTGGTATTTAAGCTGTGTGTGTGTGTGTGTGTGTGTGTGTGTGTGTGTGTGTGTGTGTGTGTACGCGCATTTGTGAGTGTATTTGAATTGCATCCCTTATCCTCATCATTTGCTTGTTTTAGTTTGTAATATCTTTAGGGCTGGGATGAGTGTACCACTAAGATGGAAAAAAAAAAAAAGCAAAAACTGAAATTACTAATCACAATGCATATCTTTACAAGGAACTTCAGTGACTCTTCTGGAGCCATGTGCTTCTGAAGAGTTGGACTGGATGCTAGGTCAATGGAAAATGTGAAGACTGCCAAACCAAACAGTTTTGGGATCTTAAAAGGAGGGTCTAGTCCAGAACAAGTACAGTGCAGCTCTTGGTCAATCAAACATTTGAGAGGTGCCAGCATTTATACTCTCTGCAGTGAAATTCACAGTCTGGTAGATGGACTCTGAAGAAGTTGCTGTGTCTCAAATGCTCATCCAGAGTCTTGATGCACAGAAGAGAGTCCTGTACTAGAAAGAATAAACGTAAGTAGCAAGTGAGTTAGTTAAAACCAAGAGCAAGCATAGTCCTACAGTGTGGCTGAAAATATGCAGTTGGAAGCGCTCTCTGATACCAAGTGAAGTAATTTTGAAGGGCAGATGAGTAAAAGAATTCCCAGAAATTAGAGTTTGTTCCACTGAGTATTGACCAGAGGGGGAGATGAAGGATTAGTATTTGAGAGGGGGAAGTTGTCTGGAGTATGCTTGGGCTAACCTCAAAATGCAGAAAAGTCTGGATATGGGAAGCATAACTACCTGTTGGTGCAACTGTTGGACAGGAGTGTTCTTAATGAAAGGGTATGTCAGGGAGGAAGATGGGAGCAGTGGGATATAGAGATTTTAGAGGTGTGCAAGAGGTGAGCTTTATGAAGTTGAATTTAACATATATGCTGTACTGGTAACAGGGTGTGGAGGGGAAGGTTGTTTTTTTGTTTTTTGGTTTTTTTTAAAAGAATCCTTTGGGTTTAGAAGGTACTAGCATGTTGAGTCAGGGCTATTTCTTGGTGTCTCGTTTTTTAATTGCCTTAGATCCACAATCTGCTAAATTGTCTGATTTAACGCTCATCAGCATGTTATTCCTTTGAATACATTTTATTCCTTGGAATTACATATTGACTAATGTGTAGTTGGCTCTGGTTCATGCTGCTAAGAAGGGGAAAGCAGAAGAACCCTTGTGTGTCACCATCTAAAAGAACTTCTATCAGTACAGAGATGAAAGGACCATTGAAGTTAATTCTGCATTACCCTCCAGATTATCATAATCTTTATTAATAGTGATGGATTTATAAACCAGGAAAAAAGCATGTGTTGGGAGCAATCTTATCTGCTCTGGCTTCTCCAGTTTGTTTTTCTTTTCTGAAAGTTTTTTATCAAATATTCTCTTCATGGAGGACACAGTTTGCCTAAATAAGCGAGAACAAGACACAGTAGCAACTAAAACTTCAGGTGCCATAAGCTTCCCCCATTACAGGTATTCTGCAATACTGATTTTCTCCAAAAGCAACATGCTAATAATACTGACACTCTGCTAAATTGTCTGATGAGGGTATTTATCACATCCACCTTGTGTCTCTAATATCCTGGGATGAACAAAAAAGACATTCCCACTGCATAGGCACAACCAAAACAGTCTTCCTACCGGCTTGCCCAAAAGTGGAGCGTCTTGTGGGTTTGGAGGAAGCAATGCCGTTCTCTGAGTCCTACTGTTCCTACCTGGGATGCACACGTGCCTTCTAATGTAGGTGGGGGGAATAATCTAACCCTATGGAGCCAATGACTTACTTAAAGCTGTTCTAGTGGCCGTCATTGGTAAGACAGGGCACAACAGCACCTCTGAAGGACAGAGCTCTCCCTTCCCAAATCATTGGTTTTGCTGCCTATTTTGAGCCACTCTTAGGAGGGGATGGCCCAGTGTTCCCCCGATGTCTGACTCCAAAGCTAAGTTTCAAAGGGATAAGATCCACAGACACATGGAGCCAGTTGCAGAGGTCACAAGTTTCAGGTACCATATGCAGCATCGTTACAAGAGTGCCCCTTCATTGTGTCAAGAGAAGGCAGAACTGAATAATGGCACCATTAGCAGTAATTTGCTGATACCTGAGACAGTTGAGAAAACTAGTTTTCCTGCTATTTATAATGTTCTTGCTTTTAAATTGTCTAGTTCCTTACTGTTTTATGAAGAATGGCGCTCGAGTAAAATAGCCTCACGTACCTCAAGTGTAAGTGGAATGTACTTTGCCTTGGCTCTGACTCACTTGCAATCTTTTCTTTTCCCTCCCTTTCTTTACACTTGCTGCATGCCATGCAGAGCGAGGATGAAGAGACGGATTACGATATGAATGACTCAGATTAAGTGTAAATGTCATGGTGAGCATTAGCTGCCCTAGGACTTCACCTACATGCTTTCCTCTGCCCCCCTACCACCTATCCCTCACTAGTATCTTCCTCTAGCTAGTCCTCCTAGTGGTGTGTTTGTTCTGTAGTTATACTTGCCTTTATTCCCAGCGTCAGTTGAAAATCACAGTGATAGAAATGGTAATAGATTTTATATTATGACCTGTTGCACAGATAATAGCAGCATGACAAGACCTGTACTGGCTCTTATGCCTTTTTACATAAGTAACACTGCCATTATCAGTCCTTTCAAAGCTGTTTTGAGAGAGGGGAAATGCTCAGTTTATACAGATTCTAGGAGAAAACATTCTAGGCAGAAATTGTTGGGTTTTGGTCACATGGCCTATTTTTTCTCTTGTCAAAATCTTTAGTTTTAATGTCTAATTTGGTAACCTAGTAAGAGGTTTGTTCCTCACAAGTATGTTAGCCAAGGATGGTCCTATTTAAGCATAATATATGGAGTCAGCAGGCCTGCATTCTTTTTTCCACTTTGTCCCAGTCTTGTATGAAAGTAGGCAAGTCTCTTAACTTCTGTGCTCCAGTTTCCACAGGTCTAAAATGGGAAATAACCTCCCTGGGGAGAGGCCAAATCCTATTTTACTATGTGTAAAGTCCTTTGAGGTCACTAAATGGACAGTGCTATCAAAATTCAAATTAGGATGGTTAATTACCAAGGAGTGACCTTATAGTGGTTGAAGCAGTGCATGGAGAAGTTGTAATGTTTTTGTTGACAGTCATTTCTGTTATAAGTCTGCTGCTATTTGCTGCTCATCAGGACTACAGTACTGCAAAGCTCAGGTAAAGACACTGGAATGTGATGGTATGCAGCAGCTTACAGGATCATACTCCAAATCTTTTTTTACCTGTACATTTTGGAAAGGCAGTCTTTTCCCAAATAACTTTAGTGCTGCTTG